ATTTTCAAAATCAGATAATTTCTGTCGAAGGAAGTTTGGAAATTGTTATGGATCTGAGTTCACGCATGAACTGCCTGTTGGTACCATGTGCTTTACGTCTTGAAATCCATACCACTCAGCTCGTTTTTTCTTATTGCTGTTTTTTAACCTATTAATAATTACATTCTGTTTTAGATATTTTCATCGTATAGATATGCACTATACCGAGACATCATCTACGAGTAGTCTAAACTGAGGTATATTTATTGCAATTTTTCGGTAAAAAGTAATGTTAACATCACCGTGGAAAAGATTCCATCCTTTTAATCTTGACGCTAAACGTTCTGACTGGGATTTTGACAGATTTCATTAAGTTCACTCTGTGTGATCAAATGCGGCGCTGTTGAATATCCTGGCAAGGATCGGAAATTTTTACATTTTCTGTACCATCAGTTTCACAATCGGCCGATTCGACTTTTTGATCCAAAGACCAAGATTCTGGTGGAACTGGGACAGAAAGTTCATCAAACAACACACCGTTTTAACAAAAATTAACAGTACTGAGAACATCTCAGTACTCTTCAACACAGAAAACGTAAGTGACTCGGCTGCTATTAGTCTACTCGTACTAATAAACGCAACATGCTCTCTAAACATAGAGCTCGGATATAATGAACAGAAATAGACAGGTCTTATCATTATACTTTGAAGTTGAGTCATTAATTTTCAGATAATGATTGTAGAAGGAAGATAAACCAAAATGTGTGTAAAAATAAAAAAAAATTAAAAAAAATTTTTTACCTTGTTTTATAAAGTATCCTCCCGACAAGTATTTCAGTGCGGACCTGTGTTTGATCGTGAGGTCTTGGAGCACCGGCATGCAGTCCCCTGTGTGGTCTTAAGTCACCTGATTCACGACCCCGTTGTACTACATTAACAAAGGCACGAGGGGTTGGTTGCACTCGATTGGGAAACCGATCCGCATAAACATGTGCCATTTTTTATTTTGTTTGAGCCACGCAACAGACACTACTATTCACTGACACTGACTGTATACAAATGAATAAAATAATTGTAAAAACATCGTTCCAAATTCTTTCGCTTTTTTGTTTCCGATGCGATGAACCGATACGGCGGATTATATCCGTTGTCGCCAAATACGAGCACATAATATTATTATTGAGACAGGGCGGTACTCAAACTTCCAAAGGGCTATAACTTTCTTACTTTAATTTTACCAGAAAAATGGTAAAGGAAAAAAACATTTCTTTTGATCAGATCTACTCACTGTTAGAATAAATGACTCAACTTCGGAGTCACCCTGTATAAGTGCGTCATCGCATAGACGCCGAGAAATGCAGCAATATGAGATGTTACGTATTGTAATTCATAAAAGTTGATATTACCGAATATCTGTGGGTGATAGAAAAATTCTGTTTTTAGATTTGATTTAAGGGTCTTAAAATACATAAGATACACCCAAAAATTGTTTTGTCACAAATCCTGTGTTTATCAGTGTTACCTAAATACGCAACGTTGCACCCATTTAAGCGACTTCGTATCTCATACAGTTTCCGAGATTCCAATGGTAAGGGTCGAATTTGAAACACCCGGTATAGGCCACTAGAACGAGACATTTCATCTACACTAACAGAATTTTCTGCATATCCTAAAGGTGCCCTTTATTTTGACATATCTCTTAAAGGCGAACGGATGCAAGTTGGCGTGTCTGCAATCCCAAAAATGGGCCGTTTATCACAGTAGCCATGACTATAAATCTTCCTTTCGGCCATTGTAAACAAGGCAGGCCATGCCTGTTTGGAAGGCAAGGCGGACCGTCGCGTCGGTCGCACCGTTTGCGTCTGTTTCGGGTTCGGAGCAGAACAACGCAACGTTCGTATTTCTCTGGGTTTGTGAAAGATATGCCAGAACCAGTGGTGTGGGTGACAAAGACAATGTTTGAAGAAGTACAACCAAACATCTATTCAAAGTAGATTGACTGCACTTCCCACGGAACGCTGTCATCAATTTATAAACGCAGAAGTTAGCCGCTCTGAGATACACCCTCGAAAAGCTGAGCTATACTCTCATCCATTCCAGAATTACAGTCACCGATACCCGCCTTGGTTTCACTCAGCTATTATTAAGAACATTAAACTTAAAGCTAAATTTAGGAAAAAAATCAACAGGTCTGCTTTTGTTGATGATCTACAAGAATTCAAACGTTTGCGCCGCTTGATAAAAAACCAGATTAAATCGGCGTATGATCAATATATTGAAAATATCCAGAATTCTTTAACAATTACCCCCAATGCTTTTTGGTCAACCGTTCACTCCAAAAACAACACATCACGAATGCCAGGGATAATGAAATTTCAAAATAATTCTATAGATCAGCCTCAGGATATAGTAAACGCATTCAGTGAGTTTTTCAGCAGCGCCTATGTCACTCACAAGCCCCATAATAATGTCTCACTAAATCATAGCAATTTATTTGTCCATTTTCATCCAATTGAGGAAAATGAAGTCAGGAAGGCCATTAAATCACTAAAGGATAAGATGACATCTGGTCTAGATGACATCCCGTCCCTTATAGTCAAAGATTGTGTGGAAGTGTTTGTTGGTGTTCTAACTAAGATTTCCAGATATTTGGAAGATCGCTAAAGTTTTTCCAGTGTTTAAGTGTGGGGATAAGTCAAATATTGAGAATTACAGGGCAATCTCTATATTATGCATGTTCTCGAAAGTCTTTGAAATAGTCTTGTACAGTCGCATTTACACCGTCCAGCGTCAGCTGTCATTGCATCAACACGGATTTGTCGCTAATCGCTCAACAACCACAAATCTATTTATAATAACGCAGTACCTCTCGGAAGCAATTGATAGTAATGAGCAAGTTGACGTTATTTATACCGAGTTTTCGAAGGCTTTCGATAAAATTAACCACAAAACTTTATTAAATAAGTTAGGTGCACTTGGTTTCACAGATGATGCTAGAGAGTTGATGAAATCTTACTTATCCGATCTTAGACAATTTGTTAGCTATAATGGCTTCCAATCTGAGACCTACTTGGCTCCTTCTGGAGTTCCTCAGGGGTCCAATCTGGGACCATTACTGTTTTTGATATTTATTAATGACCTCTGTGACTCAGTTGAATGTGAACGCCTATGCTTTGCTGACGACCTAAAAATTTATTCGCAGATAAATACTCCTGATGATTGTATCAAGCTACAACACCAATTAAATTTTGTGCTATCTTGGTGTGTAGAAAACAAGTTGGAGCTTAATGTGAGGAAGTGTAAAATAGTCAGCCATACTAGGAAAATTAATGTTTGCGAATATCCGTACTCTATTGATGGGTCTGTGCTAGAAAGATGCTCTGATGTACGTGATTTATGTATAATCTATGATCAAAAGTTAACTTTTAGTCAGCATATAAATAAAAAAGCATCAGAAGCATTGGCGGCTTATGATTTCATAGTAAGGAATTGCAGGAATTTTCATAACATAAAGTCTATTAAGCTATTATATTATGCATATGTTAGATCCAAAGTCGAATATTGTAGTATTATTTGGAGCCCCTAATATGAATACTATGGCACAGCTATTGAAATAGTACAACGGAAGTTTATGAAGTTTGTTCTGTTTAGGATTGATGGGACATATCCAGAGAGAGGTACAAGTATTATGTTTATAAATTGTCCTATAAATGGGAAACTGTTGGACAATAAAGCTATTATTATTATTATTATTATTATTATTCCCTACAACCCCCAATTTTTTACCCCAACATTTTATTCTTGAAAATAATCAGGGACCACTGAATCGTCAAACAAGACGAAGTAAAAACGATTTTTTTTTTCTTCACAAGCCTACAGGTGACTAAAATATGTCCTTTCCAATTGGCGTTGATTGAGGTGGGGAGTATAAGGAATAGTACAATCCAACTCTTAACGGAGTGATGGACAAATCACAAGTTTATAGAGGAACTCAAAACTATAATCATTTGTCTCATATTAAAACCATCGAAAGATGCCGGACTAACTGATTCATACAGACCAATCTCACTTTTATCGTGTTTAGTTAAAACCTTTGAGCGCATGATAAAACTCAGATTAGAATTTTTCATCGAAAGCAACAAACTATTCCCAGACTCCCAGTACGGTTTTAGAAGAGGTCGCGGAACATTAGAAGCGATAAGTCAACTAGTGTTGGATGTCCAGTTATGTTTCTCCAGAAACCACTACCTTTTGTGCTGGTCTTTGGATTTGAAGGGAGCATATGACTCGGTAGATTTGAGAATACTTATGCAAAAGTTAACACAAAACGGTCTATCTAAAAAATCCTCAGCTGGCATAATCCAGTTGTATATAAATAGAAAAATGTATATAAGAAATCATAGAAATGAGTTATTCGGCCCCAGAACGATATACAACGGCCTTCCTCAGGGTTCAATTCTTAGTCCTATATTATTTAATATATATACAACTGACTTCCATGGCATTTTCGACAAGGAAGTTCACGTCATTCAATACGCCGACGATATATGTGTCTACATTGCTCACAATTCATACCAGTACTGCCTCCAAAAGTTTGAACTCGTGGTAGAGAAAGTAAAAAATTGGTTGCTAGAGGTAAATCTCCAATTGGCTGTAGAGAAGTCTGCGATGATGTGTTTCACAAGACACAGAGTAGCACTTCCCAGCCTATATGATATCAGTGGCCTTAGTATACCCGTGGTTCAGCAATATAAATATCTAGGAGTAGTGCTGGATTGTAAGCTCACTTGGGGCAAGCATATTCAGTACTTAAAAACAAAACCTGAAAAAGGGATTAACATACTAAGTGCACCACAAAGAAAAAGAGGGGGTTCAGATCCTAAAATAGCGCTTATTTTTTACCAGTCTTACGTAAGGTCCGTATTGGATTATGGTTGTGTGCTGTACGGTCTCACCTAACTAAAATTGACCGAATACAATATCAGGCCTTGAGAATTTGCATGGGAGTCATGAAATCACACCGTGTCCAGCAATCTTAGCTGAAGCAAGGGAACCTCCTCTTTCATTACGAAGAAGGTACTTTGCAGAGAAGGCTGTTGTCAAATACAGAACCTATAACAAATACTTGCTTAATAAGATATCAGAATTAGTAACTACAGACTTGACTAACAAGTACTGGAAAAAAATCCTCACCACTGCTAGCTGAAGCTTTCGTAGAGACCAGTCATCTCGCTAATTTAATTCATCCTATGGATAATTACCCGTTATATGTTGGCCCTTATGAAGTTTTCCTTAATGAAACAACCATCACAATCCCTACATATACCGAAAAATGTTATTACAATAGGTCTGTTCTATCTGCCGTATTGGAAGATCTCAATTGCCACACTGTCGTCTATACCGACGGCTCCAAAAGTGAAATGGGTACTGGGTGCGCGTTCTACGTCCCACAAAAAGATTATTGCAAGGGATACAGGATTCCTGACCTGTGCTCCATATTTACAGCAGGCGATTTTCTGGTGCCTTTCGCAAAATATTAATCATGCAACAATTATTACAGATTCGAGATCAGTCTTAGAAGCAATTAAACAAAATCCTGTTAGATCATAAGATAATTTTTTATTATGCAAAATCAGAAACTTACTCGTCGCTTATCAAGCCAAAACAGCAAAGATAAATTTTGTTTGGGTAAAAGGGCATGCTGGCATCAGAGGCAACGAGATGGTTGATAAAGCTGCAAAAAATGCAATTCACTCTAGTACGATTACCTATGTGCCACTTTTTTTGATTTATTCATAGAGATCAGAGGTAACATCAAGAAAAGATGGGATTTGATCTGGTCCAACTTTGTAGTAAACTCTCGAAATCATTATGCTCTTATTCACCCGACCCTTCCCAATATAATTCCCCACATAGATCTCTTCTATATGAATAGAAGATTCTCCACAATTATAACGAGATTGAGATTGGGTCATCGTTGCTTTCCTGCTCATCTTCATCGAATATGTGTAATAGAGTCCCCAAATTGTGCTTGTGATGAATCTTCTATAGCCGATCTAAATCACATATTTTTTGCTTGTAATCTTTACACCAATATCTCCAACCAATTAATCGCTCAGATGATTAAACTTGGCTTCCAACAACCTTTAAGTCTGACTACCATTTTATCCTTTCCGGATATAAAAATTTATTTAGCGCTAATTCAATTCCTTAAAAAGGCAAATATTACTATATAAAATAAACCTTGTCTGGAATTCGTAACTATTCAGTTATATCCACCCCTTTTCTTTCTTTCTTACCGTCTCTCACAATGATCAGATAATATAAATCCATTGACAACATTTTGTGGCAAATGGACTCCAGTTTCCAATGCCAATATTTTGACACACACACACAACTCTTGACGACTGAATTATCGAAATGTTACTACTGGATATCATTTGTCATAGACAGTACAACTAATAAGTAGGAAAAATACCGCTAAACATCAAGTGAAATGAAAAAGCAAGAATCTTTGAATGACGTATTAGAACAGTGAGTGCATTATGATCGTTTCATGAAAGGATGCAATATATCGAGACCGTAGAACTGGTCCGAAGGAAGTCGTTGCGCTCATATATCACAAAAATAGCGATCGCTCTGTCGTTACTCGTTGCAGTCAAGGCAGCACAAGTCGAAGAATGAATGCTAAGAAAGGGCAACAACAAAGTTGATCCATTGGGTTTTTGTGTTTTTTAAAGTGATTCAGTTGGAGCAGCAGTATCACTACAATCAACAAACTATACATTATTATGTTTTATCTTTTAATTTCATTCAGTAAAGGCGGAAAGAAAAATAATTCCATACCAACTGCACGTTAATAGCCTGGTGTTAGTTTGTGGTATCAATCGGCAGGTGCTTTTAAAAAAAAAGGTGTAAACTATTTAATAATGAACCTCTACTACATTGCTATTAGATAATTATATAGAAATGGAGAAATTGTACTTATTTATAAACATCAATAATGCTTCAAGTTTCTCAAGTTTATTATAATTTTATTCTGAGGTCACTAATTATGATTAATTGTTCGACCATCTACTAGTGTACGAGGGATGTCTTTTAAGTTTTGCATAACGAAACATAGAAGGCCGCGCGGATCGAACGTCAGTACTGAATCTTAACCTCACTCTTTAGTAAACTTGAATTCAAAGTTTCACAACGATACGTGCAGTGTTCTCACTACAGTGAATTTCTAAGTGTCACCAAGTTATCAGAAAAATGGAACTCAACCGAGAACATTTTCGCGCCATAATTTATTATAACTTTCAGAGACAATTACACTGGACAACAAATTTTAGTTTTTTAATTGTATCTTGTGGGAAAAGTGCACTTCTTTGTTAATTTTGGGGCGCTGAATCCAAAAATGACAATGAAATAAAAAAAATAGTTGCGGTTTAGAAAAAAAACTTTTTATTTTTAAGGATATATTGAAAAAAGTAACAAGATTCATATACTTATAAGAATCACTATATGCGCTGTCTTTTTGCTGTTCTTTTATGGATCGTTTCTGGAGCATCTCTACCAAGAGTCTAACAGTAGTCTGCACGCATGGAAGCATTCCACTTTCCCTGGTACCTTTTTTCCATTGTTGAAATATCCTGATGAAAACGTTCGCCGTGCTCATCACTTACGGCTCCGCAATTGTCAGGAAAAAAGTCCAGGTGTGAGTGTAGGAAATGTATCTTAAGAGACATATTACAGCCCATCTTTTGATACGATGACAGTATATTTTTGACAAGGGTTTTATAGTTGTCAGCTTTTCTATTTCCCAAGAAATTAGTGACCACCAGACGGAAATCATTCCAAGCAGTTTTTTCAATACCTGTTAAAGTGTTTTCAAACTGTGTATCTTTCAAAATATTTCGAATCTGTGGCCCAACAAAAATACCTTCTTTAACCTTTGCCTCACTTAGTCTTGGAAATTTCTGACGCAGGTATTGAAAAGCTGACCCATCTCTATCGAATGCCTTGACAAAGTTTTTCATTAGGCCCAACTTGATATGCAGTGGTGGTAATAAATTTTTTTTCGAATCTACTAATGGCATATGCTGTACATTTTTTTGACCTGACTCTAGGAATTGACGAACAGGCCAGTTTTGTCTGGTGTAATGCAGTGCCTTTGCCCGACTGTCCCATTCACACAAAAAACAGCAAAACTTTGTGTAGCCTAGCTGCAGCCCAAGTAAAAGTGCAACAACTTTCAAATCGCCACAAATATGCCATTGGTGCTGATCGTATTTTATGCATGTCAATAGGTACTTCATATTGTCATATGATTCTTTCATGTGAACTGCATACCCTACAGGAAGAGATGGTAAAATATTTCCAATATGCAATAACACTGCCTTTAAACTCAATGTTGAATTGTCTATAAACAATCTCCATTCTTCTGGGTTATAGTTTATATTTAAAGCCGCCAGTAAGCCGTTAATGTTACTCCAGAAAACCAAGTTATTCTCCATATTGAAAAATGGTTCTAAGTCTTTGTGGCGTTTACGAAAAACACATACCGAAACATCGTCTTCTAACAAGTTCCACTGCTGCAGTCTTGATCAAAGTAACTCTGCCTTACATTTTGGAAGTTCTAACATAAATCTCTTACAAGATCATTTAATTCTGACTGTGTTATTTTGTGCGGTTGGTGGCATGACGTGCTCGGTATAAAATCAGGATCTCTTGACGTTGATGGCATATCTTCTTCCTGACGAATCACTCGATCGCCATGATCTGATTCGTTTTCTAATTCGCAAGTGTAGTATTCTGGGGGTTTTGGAATAAGATTTTCGTCACTGTGAGGCACAGGTCTCATCGCAGATGGTATGTTTGGGTAGTTAATAACCGATTGTTTTTTCTTGGACATACCTGTGGCTTGTCCAACACAAGGTACCATGCAAAAGTAACAATCATTAATATGATTTGTAGGCTCTCTCCAAACCATTGGGACAGCAAAGCGCATAGACCGTTTTTTGCCATTTAACCAGCTCCTCAGACTTGAAGCACGTGTATTACAGCAGATGTGGGGTGCCCACTGTTTGTCTTGATCACCTAGTTTACAACCGAAATAAAGCTGATATGCCTTTGTTATTAGTGGGGTAATAGACCGTCTCTGAGACGCAAAAGTCACATCACCACACACGTAACAAAACTGATCTGGATTGTTTACACACTTTCGAGACATCTTGCATGAACGCTGTCAGCCAACTGAGGAAAAAATGGCTAATATAAAATAATATAATGTACACGTATGTATAACGTAACACAATCATGCCGATTACATCATCTTTCCTTGCCGAATTAAAAAATGTAGCACGTGCATTCTTGTGAATTACAGTATATTAACACTGTCACAGCAGGAACACATATAATTACCGTATCTCTAAAACTTGAACTAAAATTGAAAAAATAAGTTTCATTCCGGTTTTAGCACATTAAAAATAGTAATTTTTTGTTGATTTTACTTAGGATATTTTTTGGCTGTTGATCAGTGTTATCGCAACAAGAATGCCTTGCTGAGTTACTGTCTGTTTTCGGCAACGACGCGCCACATCAGTCGACAATTTCCCGTTGGCATGGAGAATTCAAACGTGGACAGGTGAGTTTTAGCGACGATTCCAGGGTGGGAGCACCAAAAACGGCAGTCACCCAGGAAAACGGCGATGCTGTGCGCAAACACATGATTGAAGATAGACATGTGACATATCGCGAGATTGAGGCGTCCTTGAAGATCTCAAAGACCTCAATTCAAAAAATTTTACATGAAGAATTAGGAGTAAGAAAATTAGTTTCTCGTTGGATACCCCACCTGTTGACTGAAGAGCAGAAAGCAGCCAGGGTTAATTGGTGTCAAAAAACGCTAGACCGTTTCAATTCCGGAAACTCAAAAAATGTGTACAGCATTGTAAGTGGTGATGAATCGTGGATTTACTGTTATGAACCTGAAAATAAACGACCGTCGGCCAAGGTGAAGAAAAGCCAACAAAAGTCATCCGTTCTCGAAGTGTTTCGAAAAAGATGGTCGCGACATTTGTGTCAAAACAATTCCTCTTAGTGAGCAAAGAAATGTTACTGCGGATTGGTATACCACCATTTGTTTGCCAAAAGTCATCACCGAACTTCAAAAAAACAACCCCGAAAGAAGAATCATCCTCCACCAAGACAATGCAAGCTCGCACACAGCCAAAGGCAGTATTTAACGGAAGAAAACGTGGAATTATTGGACCATCTCCATATAGTTCTAATGTTTTCTTTACTTTCCCGAAAATAAAAAACAAACTGCGTGGTCAAAGGTTCCAGTCACCAGAAGAAGCAGTTGACGCATTCAAAAATGCCGTTTTGGATCTGCCAGCAAACGAGTGGAATAAGTGCTTCGAAAATTGGTTCGAGATGTGTATTAATCTTCGTGGAGAATACTTCGAAAGACAATAAAGTCATTTAAAACTACCTAACGTGTTGTTTTATTTCCATATGCAAAACTTAAAAGACATCCCTCTTTGTAATTAAAAATTATTTTCTACTTTTTCGTTCGGTTACCTATAAAAGCGTGTTTTTTTAGTTCTTTCAAACTATCATTTTAAATTGCGGATGTAGCACTCATTGTCTTTGTTACACATCTCTTAGACCTAGCTAAATATAATGAACATCATTGTATACTCAGATGTATGTATAATCGTATCACTCAGTTTATTTATTTTATATCGCTGTTACATCCATATGTTTGTGTATACAACATGAGAATAAATGTATGTATATAGAGAAAGAAGTTATGATATGTCTAATCTATCACAATCGTATAAACATTGACACATGAATTGTCTAAATATAGATACAGTGACTGAATTTTTGATCGCTCGGTTTGGGTTCAAACAGCTGTTCTTAAAAATTTTGAATGATGAATAGTATTTTTGTTAACCCTTAACCGGCGTGGCCGAAAATTGTAACACATATGGCGTTGCGGAGTCCCTGGGACTCCAAAATAAAAAATGGTGTTCTTTTTCAAGTTTTTGAAAGAAACAGTGGTTTTTAGTTAAATAATTAATCATAGATATGTATGGAAATAACTTTTATTTTTATAATCATTTAAGAAAAAAAACTGATGCAAACATAATGTAAAACTAAAAATGTTAACAAAAATAAATATTGCACTCTATTGATTCTCATTTTTAAAACAAAACAAAAAAATAACAACTTTTTATATTGAAACCATATTTTACAATGTCTGAACTAGAAATAAAAATAATAACATTGACTTTCAACCCTAAAACAAAAAAAATAACAAAGGACCAAATATTCCTAAAAAAAGAAAGAAATAATTATGATTCTTCTACATTTTCAATGCATTGAATACACATTTTTTTGAAGCATTGTAAACATATTGGTTTTTTGCAATGAACACATAGATAACCAGTTTTTCTTTTTAATTTCGGGTCACAGATAAAACAATATTGTCTCTGATTTCTAGGCAAAGTTTCTGCACCATCGGCTGGTGCCTCCGGGGCAATCTTCAAAATTCTGACAATACCTGCTTTCAACTCTCTTGGCAAATTTGTTTTTTGGGATCTTTCATGGAGAAGTGGTTCATACAGTTGTTTGGCCAATAATTTCACCCTTTCCACAATAAATATATGTATTGTATATGTAGTGAGTGCGAGCATCAACAAGACATTGCACTTTCAAACCATATTTTACAGGTTTACTTGGTAAATACATTTTGAATTTACACCTGCCTCTAAAACCGACCAACATCTCGTCAACAGTTGCGTTCGCTCCTAAACAGTAAGCTGACTGCGAATTTTGATTAAATTTTTTAAATATATGCGAGATTGCTGCAGCTGGGTCAGTTTTTATTCTTAGTATTCTCTCTTCATGAGTATCAAATCTCAGGCAAGCTAATAATACGGAGAATCGTTTTGCTGACATTACCAATCGAAAGATTTCTCGACCAGTCCCGTCGGTTGCAAATATTGATTCAATGGTCTCATTATTAGACTTGAAAGCAGCAGTTAACAGCAGAAGTCCCAGAAAACCATTAATTTCAACAGAATTTGCTTCCCTGTATTCTGTGCGATTTTCATTGCCTGGCTTAGAACGAAATTCCTGGATTTTCAAATTTGTGTAATGCACAACAATGTCTAGTATATCCTCAGAGAAAATTTTTCGCCATGCGTTCACCGGTTCAATGTTTGGCAAAGCATTCTTATTTCCTGGCAACTTCAATATATTATGGGCTGGTGTTCTTACATTTCGGGTTGGTTCAGTAGAAGCCCATTTGTATCTGTTTTTTCCGTAGAAATATTTTTTAACTGGCTCACTTGTTTCACTGTCCTCTCCACTTTCAGTAACATCTTGACCATCATCATCAGAAGCACTGTAAGAAAGCTCACTCCCCGTTTCGTGATCACTTGTGATGGCATTCTCGGATGTAATATTGCTCTCAGGATCTGCATCTGGATCTGAAAACTCTTCGTCACATTCTTCAAACCACCTTTGCACAGTTTCTTCAAAGTTAGGATCTGTGAACCTAACTCTGTTTGGATTCCCATACATTGTTGCAAAATTCAAAGTATACTTCTAACTGCGTCCCGGAGTCCCACGGACTCTACGTTCTTTGCTACACGCACTTGCCTTGATGATAGACTCAAGTCAACTGACCACGCGTCGCGTCTCCCCACCATACGAAGGTACTGAACGACGCGCTCTGTTTAATAAACGGAGACGGAATTTATTAACTAGTATATACTTGCTGGAGTCCAAGGGACTCCACAACGCCGGTTAAGGGTTAATTGAAACAGATTTTTTAAGGACGACGCAGATATTCCTCGTCTCTACCTCGAGTATTGCTTTCTCTGAAAAAGAGAATAAAAAAAACAATGTTTTATTTTATTGCCCCTAAGCATTATTAACAATATGCAATATGCTGCGTCTATCAAAAAGATAATATCTAGTAGCTTACGTAGAACGATACTTAATTGTATGCAACCCACATAGTTTTACTATGGTTTATTTGGATATCGTATATCCTTCCAATATATTTTTACACCTATTCTTTTTTTACGTCAGTAACCCAAAACCCACATGTAGACCGGGTAACTTGATATCGATAAACGAAACGATGCTTCAAGCTTCAGATACCACATCAGGGTGTTTTTTGTTTTTATTCTCACGCCATATGTTTGGTGTAGTTTTTGCTGCTGCTTTGATATACGATCCGATGTTTTCTGTTCTGTGATTAATTTTGTAATAAGTGTAGATATTGTGAAAGTCTCACTTTGCATAATATTAGACAAATAAATGATTTTATCTCATCATTGAAGCAAATTTCAAAATAATAACACTGGAAGTATCTTCGCATCTACTCGGATAAATATTCTGATTCGGTTCGGGCATAAAACATGCTCTTTCTAACGAACCAGGATGTTGCCAGGCGGATAACTGCGACAAAAATTGTTTAATCATCTTCCACAATTATTGTTTTGCTCCGGACTATCAATTTTTTGGGTTATTCTCAATAAAAAAGCTTTTATGATTTTTTTCTGAAGATGATCGTTTTCGACATATAAGCGATTTGATATTTGAAGAAAGTAGAAAATATGAAATTTTCGAATCTGAAAAACAAAATGAAAACGGTGGCAAAGTTCCTAAATATTTTTCAAACGTCAATTGAATTATCTAAGAAAAAAAGTAAACAGTTTAAAATCAAATAACAACTGTGCCGAAATCACTACTAAAAACGTGCTGAAAAACCGTTTCGAAATTTTGGGATATCCTGTATTAAATTGGATCAATTGTTCACTAAGAAGCAGTTCTTTTCCTGAAAATTTGAAATGCTCTACAATAACACCAGTTCCCAAAATAAAATGATTAGAGTCCATATTGCATGACCAATTAATGCAGTTTATAGAAGAATACAAAATTTTAGTGGAGGCGCAAGCAGGCTTTCGAAAAAAATATTCCACAGAAACAGCTTTCCAGATGGTAACTGAGAATTGGAGAAGAGCCATAGACTCAGAAGAAGTTGTCATAGCAGTATTTTTGGATTTGAAGAGGGCATTTGAAACGATTGATAGAGATATTTTGTTAGGTAAATTGAAGGCGCTAAAAATATTCAGTCTGGTATCTCTTATATAAATGAAGACTTGAAGCTTGTCTCAAAATGGTTAGCATCTAACAGACTAAAATTAAATGCAAGTAAAACGAAAGCCTTGTTAATCGGAAAAAAACAATGTACAAATGTTCAACTGAATATTGATGGTGAAGATATTGAATTCGTAGAAAATTTTAAATACCTGGGGGTTTTTTTTGACTCTCGATTAATTTTTGATATTCATTATGAAAAAGTTATAAATAAGATTAGTAGTAAAGTGGGATATTTATCGAGAGTTTCTGGATGTCTGAGTTCATATAGCAGAAAAATTATCTATAACACCATCATTCTTCCAAATTTCTTGAACTGTTCGACTATTCTATATTTAGCAAATAATTCCATTTTTGAAAGACTGCAAATTTTACAAAATAAGTGCATGAGAATAATACTAAATAAAGATAAATATGCTCCAATTAGGCAAATGCTTAGCAAATTAAAATGGCTCAACGTAAAAATTTTTATCAAATATCTTGTAATGATATCCATTTATAAAGTAAAAAATAATATATTTCCATCAAGTCTAACTAATTTAACATCATCAAATGTCGACTATCATTTACATAATACCAGAAATAAAGATGACTTCTATTTAATGACCAAATAGTATAATATATGCTACAAATCTGTATTCCATCAAGATTGAATATAATAAATTATACTCGGAGATAAAAGACCAGAAAACTTAGACAAAATTTAGAGTAAAATTGAGAAATCACTTGTTAAATCTACAATTATAGGTTGCCCAGCATTTACATCATACACCTTGAATTTACTAGTTCTTGGTTGTTTTCAATTATTCTAATTCTAATTAACAAAATTCCAACGCGTTTTGAGGAAAACCTCTTGTAATCGCGAAACCTTTCGAAAAAGAGGTTATTACGTTTTTTGTATGTTATTTCATTTCCGTTGGTCTGGCCTGTCCGCTAATCCTTGGCCCATGTATAACTTGGGAAGTACTGCTTAGACTTGGATAACATTTCTACACAAGGTTAATACTACTACCTACTGGCAAGGACGAAAAAGCTTTGTAGTATTTGAAAATCAGGCTAAAAACGAATAAATAATAATTGCATAAACCTCGTTTATTGACGTTTCAGAGGATCCTGATCATTAAAAAAAAATCAGGGGTAAAAAAGACATTACAATAAAACAAATTTTACACAAATAAAACATTAAAAATGCCTAAAAGAGAAGAACTCTTCAATAGTACAACAAACACAAACACAAACGTGGGATGAGCTACCCTACAAGCAAATGCTATAGCTAAGTCTGGACTCAACGATTGCGTACCTATCGGTCGCAATTGCCGCGCGCCTCAGCGTTGAAATGATTGCATCTTTGGTAGTGGATCTAAGGGACTTACAAAAGCAGGTAGTAGACGGCGCGGTGACGAGATACGAGGTGGCCGCGATATTATCTAAACAAACAAACAATGTGCTTGGAGTGTAATAATGCGGTTACTAGATTTCGTGAGGTGAAAACCTTTACTAAAGTTTGACTAATTGCCGTGAAAAAATGTACCAGACTGAATCAGCAAATGACCTCAAAAACTAGCTATTTAATGTTCTGTTAAAAATAGTATAACATTTGTAGGTTCTCTAAAAACTGAATAATTCCAAGTTTCGCCATGGAAGTCGTAATACTTGCGAAATACTACAAATAAAAAATAATATTTTTAAAAGAATATTAAACAGGCTACTTTTTAAGATCATTGTCCTATTCAGTCTGTTTCATTTTTTTCACAGTATTTAGTTAAACTTTATTAAATGTTTTCATATTGAAACAAAATGTAATACATAATTATTTTTTTTAGCATACTGTGCTAGCTTCCAATGAAATGAATACTCGGATGTCTCTACCAACTATTGAAGGTAGCCCAGGTAAAAAATCATAAGTTAGAAGTTCTTTATAGTCATAAAAGGCAAAAAGGAGCAAAAAGTAGTGATTTTTTGAAAAAACTTACAAGTGACAATTTCTCGAAAGCTAGAAAACTTTCATTAAGGTATGTTGATTTTATCTGATTGATCTGAAGTCAATCTACCTTCAGTATCACTCTGGCGTGTTATTTCTCGGCCACCCTGTATACTATACATAGATGTATTGTGAACGTAACAAGAGCTGTCAAACATTTTTTAATTGAAAAGACCAAATAGGTGCATGGGAAGTATAGAGTCAATCTACTTGACGCCATTTTGTAATTGTTACTGTATATTCTACTCTTTCAAGAGTATATGCAAAAAGAATTTTAAATTAAGGATCAGCTTAGCTTTAAGTTGACCTTAGCCAGGCAGTGCAACCGGGCATTAAAGTTTTAGCGTAGGCTATACGAAGCACATGACTTATCATCCATTATCGTGTTCCTTAAGGCCCAACCGCTAATGTAACGACATGGCGTACCATTTTATGTTTGCCGTAAATCACCTGGGAATGTCCCCATAAAGAGACACGTGAAACGTTTTATGTAAAATTCTAGATGTGTTTTGTGATATACATAGACAACTTCAATTGTATATTAAAAGCTGAATTTATTGGACTGGTTTACAGCAGAGCTTGTTATTATATTTATCGTCTGACATACTCTTTAAAATGACCGCTTGTTGGCGTTTTTGGTCATGTGCGTCGCAATATCAAAAGATGTGGACGGTTAGTCACTTTCGAGATTTTTTCAAAGACTGAGTACCTTTTATAGAAAAGATCCTAGAATAACTAGTTGAACACGAAAAACTTTGAAAGGATTTATTAACGAAACTTGACAAGTGTCAGTCACAAACGTCAGCTGTCCCCACATGCGTCACCGGTAGGCTCTCGAACTAAGCGACGTTGCCGGATTGCAGCACTAGAATTCACTATACATATCTTTTTATTTAGCAGAACTTTTTATTTACTTGATTTTTTGTCTTTTATAAAGGGTGTAGGGGCGCAAGTTTTTAACTAAATAAAAAACAGTGTTTTACGTCTTTAGACTGTTATTTTTTACTGAACCATAAAGTACTTAGGATAAGGTTTATGTATGGAATATCACATCGGGCAAATAGCCTCCACGCTTCGCTGGCACATACGCCATCTTTTGTCGAAATTTGTCATTACCTTTCTGCATAATTTCGTTGATGCACCCTTTAATTTCGTCTTGTAATGCACGGGTGGTTGTGGGCTTGTTGACATAGACCTTTGACTTTAAATAACCCCATAAGATGAAATCTAATGGCGTTAAATCACACGATCTAGGGGGCCAATTTTGGTCACCGAAACGGGAAAGTGCTCGACTAGGAAATGTCTCTTGCAGTAATTGAATTGTATCATTGGCTGTATGGCATGTGTCTTGTTGAAACCACATATTGGACATTTTCAAAAAAGTACGGTCCAATAATGCCTGCAGCATCAAACAGTGACACGTTGTGTGTGC